AAATCTTCTGCTGAAAGAAGGATCTGCATTCGACTTGGTTAATCCTCCCTTTCAGCAGAAGTGACAGCCAAATGCGTAGGCTTTTCCATGAAAGGAAACTGGAGTAGTATGTTCTCAAGGTAAGTATATTTGCACTTCTGTTTTATACTTTTTGTAATCCACTACAATAAAAATGTTAACATTTGTCAACCTTAAACCTCCTCTATCTAGCTGGTTTGAAAGCTGTTGCCTCATAGCATATACAGTACAGGCTGACATTTCTGTTTGTAATTAGGTACCTTAAATGAACTAATAAAATATGGTTTAATAAGTTAAAACAAAATCCATGAAACATAAAGTACAGTGACTCATAGGTTATAAAAGAGCACCGTTTATCAGTCTCTCCCATTTATTTGGCAGCTGCTAAATGTTACAGAATGTTATATTATCTGATACAATGACTGTTTACATATGATTATGCAGAACTAGATGATATAGCATCTTTTAGAGGAAATAAAAAATTCCATACAGTATGGCATTCCTGACAAGCTACTTACACAATTGATCAGGAGTTCTCAACTACTGATTAACACTGAAGTAGGTATAACCCTGATTTTTGTGACAAATGTTACCTGCAAAACAATCCTTTTCAAACTCAAATTTCTCCCTACACTTTATCTTCTTGCATGATTCTTCAGTACCACTGTAAATATTTTGCCATTAGAATGAATCAAAAAGATGATAAAACAGGAAAATAAGTAAATAATTTTTACATATAATATAACCCTGTTGTCATTTTATTAGCTCTTTTACGTGTTCCACTAACAAATCAGAATCAGAATCCCACCAACTATCTTGATCTCATTGCAGTTCACCTTATCTCACCTCTCCTTATCACTACACTTATATCTCTCTTTAGCCTTTTTTGCACACTGTCTCCTGCCCATTTTCTTTCAAGCATGTTTTATTTACCGGTAAATAATGGTTAAAAAAAACCTGCTCTGAACCCCTTATGTCTCTCCTGTCATCACCTGGTCTTTCTTCTCCCCTCCTCTAAACTCCTTTAAAAAACACAAACATATGGAAATGTCAAGCTCTCTTCCTTCAAACTTGCTTGTGGATCCTGTCCAAGCTAGCTTCTGCTCTCAGTTTTTCTCAAAAACAGCCCTGACTAATGTATGTAATGACTTACTCACCTCTATATTTAAAGGTCACCACTCTGTAAAAATACTACTAAATCTGTCTGCAACCTTCGATGTGGTTGATATACACTCTGTCTCTGAAAATAATTGTTGACCAATCCTGTGGAAGGGAGTTTTACAGCATGCTACCTTTGCCAATTGGACTATTCAAATGAATACAGCCTCACTTTATTTACTAAGCAATCATTCCTTATTCCTTTAGTAAATCAACTCCATAGTGCTAGTAAGCTTAATGGTTCCCTTGAATTCCAATTTTATTAACATGAAATTATATTGAAACCAATCTTTCTTCTCTAAAATCTCTTTTGAAACGAATGTCCCTGTTGCTGTGACGGCAAAGCTTAGTATTCATCAATACTGCACTGCAGCCTAGTTTTTAAGGCCACCCCTCTTGAACCACCTATAACCAGCAGGCATCGACATGACAGAGAGAACAACTTGCCCCCAGATTTTCAGTCAAAGGAATAGCTGAATAGTCTCCCTTACCAATTATACTGTATCTACCCTTTTGTCTTTTGGATTCAGGGGCGGACTGACAACTCATGGGGCCCCCGGGCAATAGGGGATCATGGGCCCCTGTGTCCTTGACCAAAAAATCAAAAAAGCCTATGAAAAAGGTACCAGGGGCATCTCATGGGGCCCCCTACTGACTCCGGGCCCTCGGGCAGTTCCCAAGTTTCCAAATGGTCAGTCCACCCCTGTTTGGATTACAATATTGTTGTTTGGCAGTGTTCTCTTTCCCATTGTTTCACATAGTTGTGTATGTTTTAAAGTGGTTCTAAAGGCAGAAGGTTTTTTTTTTTACTTTTTACCTTTATTGCATTCTCTACATTAAGGTAAAAAAAACCTTCTGCAAACAGCATCCTCCTCAGCCCCCAGCCCCCCCCCCCTTATACTTAAATGAGTCTGATCTCAATCCAGCGATGTGCATGAGAGTAAAGGCTGTCTTGGCTGTTTCCCTCCTCATTGGCTCAGACACTGTCAAGTCACACACAGGCAGTGAGGAGGGAGCTGGAGCAGGTAAGTATAACATTTGTTTTTTACATTTCTTTTATAATTGCTTTAATGTCAAACCAAATGTTTCTCATTGTTTCCCAGAGGGTTTTTAGTATCAAGACATCTTCCTAATCTGCCATCCAACCCACCACAGCCATTGCCATGTCAAGTGAGGCATTCTGCATAATGTAGTATAAAAAAATCCCAAAAGCTTACTTTTTTCCTCCAGCATTTAAACGCTCATCATAACAGGTTGTGGTGTTGAAGTGACTTAATAAAATAGTGATACATAGCTAATATGAAAGTCTTTATAAACTGACATAATGATCCTGCCTGTCAGAACTTCATATAAAGGCATCACATATCTCTAATATTATTCATTGTGACACTCATATGTACTTAATGTGCAACAAGATGCAAAGCACTGTAACCCATGGCGACCTCTCAAAATTCCTTCAAAGATCTGACTCCAGCAAACTGAAATGTGTTTAGCTAGTATGGGTTGCTGCACTCTGCACTTCTCTATTGCACTTTGCAATAGCTTTACTGAATATGGCACTCTCCATGGTTACTTTTAGTGGTAAGAAAAATGATGGCACTGGGGGCACTTTGTGATTATTGCACTGTATTTGAAGCTCATTTCCTATATTAATAATTCAGGATCTGAAACATGCCTAAATTTCAACTTAATATTAATAATAATAATTAATAATAATATTTCAATATTTCAATATGCACTTAAAGATGTAAATAATAGTCTCAAACTGCCTACAGATGACCAGATATCTTGAATACCTGTCTTGCTCATTATAAAATGTATTTTTTCAGATTACCAACACAAAGTTTAAACTTTTGTTAATTACAAACATGCACTATTACAACAAGTTATAGGATTATTGGACGTAGAAAAGCCCATGCAAGTAAACATCAGGACCAGTGCAATGTAAAATACATAGGAAACATTCTTAGGCTTTTATACTAAAACATAAAGAAATCACCTTCACAAAAATTACAAGAGGTCTGCACCAAAATGTCAAAACCAAAATGCGTCCTTAATTTAACATCCTCAATCATAAACAATGCTTTATGTATTTAATTATCATACTTTATATATACATTTAATGGCAGTAAATATACTAAGCCACATTTACTGTTTAACACTTGGGAAAACAAAACATTTATAGGACTCAGTATGCGACTGACCTATTCAATGCATACCTCAGTGTTGATTCTACAGATCAACAGGAAAATAGAATGTCTTTGCTGAAAGAATTATTTCATTTTTTATGTCTGCCAATTTCTGTTTGTACCTTTTTATGAACTTGGTGACTGTTTTTCAAGAATAAATAACATTAAGCCTGTTTACAAATGATCTCTTCGATAAACCTGGATATTTGGACGAAATTAGAACAACATTATCCACAGTGTATTAAAGTACATAGTGTGAGAGAACAAAAGAACATATCATCCTTAGTACATCATATGAGCTAGTCAAGATTGTACTGTTTTAAGCAATCACAGAAGGACACATACCCAAATATTAAAAAAAATTGGTTAACATAGTTAAACAAAATATTGTAGCATTATTGGTAGTCTTCTAGTCTCCTTGTAAATCTGCACAGATTTTAGAAAAGTAGTAATACTTTGAAAATAGTGTTATCTAAATAAAGTTGATATTAAGTATTAATATTAAGACTACAAGATAATATATTAAGACTCCAATAACTAAGACTAGACACAAAATTCCAGGAAGCTACTATAGCTCAATGAGAAATAAACATCTAGTCTAGTGTCAATTATTTCGACAATTACTAATATCTATTTGCTTGGTAACCTTGAAAAAATATTAAAAGCAAACAATGAAACTATTTTGTATTTTGTGCTCAGCAAATTGCACTTGAGTGATGCCACAGTGCAATGTTTGCAGATAGGAACAGTGGGCCAGGTTTTCCTAGCTGCAGGTAACCATCATGTATACTATATTGCCAAAAGTATTGGGACACCTGCCTTTGCACACACATGACCTTTAATGGCATCTCAGTCTTAGTCCATAGGGTTCAATATTGATTTAGCCCACCCTTTGCAGCTATAACAGCTTCAACTCTTCTGGGAAGGCTGTCCACAAGGTTTAGGAGTGTGTCTATGGGAATGTTTGACCATTCTTCCCGAAGTGCATTTGTGAGGTCAGGCACTGATGTCGGATGAGAATGCCTGGCTCACAGTCTCCACTCTAATTCATCCCAAAGGTGTTCTATTGGGTTGAGGTCAGGACTGTGCACAGGCCAGTCAAGTTCCTCCACCCCAAACTCGCTCATTCATGTCTTTATGGGCCTTGCGCTGTGCACTGGTGCGCAGTCATGTTGGAACAGGAAGGGGCCATCCCCAAACTGTTCCCACAAAGTTGGGAGCAAGAAATTGTCCAAAATGTCTTGGTATGCTGATGCCTTAAGAGTTCCCTTTACTGGAAATAAGGGACCAAGCCCAACCCCTGAAAATCAACCCCACACCATAATCCCCCCTCCACCAAACTTTACACTTGGCACAATGCAGTCAGGCAACTACCGTTCTTCTGGCAAACATCAAACCCAGACACGTCCATCAGATTGCCAGACAGAGAACATGATTTGTCACTCCAGAGAACACGTCTCCACCGCTCTACAGTCCGGTGGCGGCTTGATTTACACCACTGCATCTGACACTTTGCATTGCACTTGGTGATGTAAGGCTTGAATGCAGCTACTCGGTCATGGGAACCCATTCCATGAAGGTCTCTACGCACTGTTGTGCTAATCTGAAGGCCACATAGAGTTTGGATGTCTTTAGCTATTTACTCTGCAGACAGTTGGCAATTTCTGTAAACTGTGCGCTTCAGCATAAGCTGACCCCGCTCTGTCATTTTACGTGGCCTACCAGTTGTTGCTGTTGTTCCCAGTTGCTTTGTTATAATACCACTAACAGTTGACCGTGGAATATTTAGTAGCAGGGAAATTTCATGGATGGACTTATTGCACAGGTGGAAACCTATCACAGAACCACTGAATTCACTGAGCGCCTGAGAGCGACCCATTCTTTCACAAATGTTTGTAGAAGCAGTCTGCATGTCTAGGTGCTTGATTTTATACACCTGTGGCCATGGAGGTGATTGGTACACCTGAATCCAGTGATTTGGAGGGGTGTTCTAATACTTTTGGCAGTATAGTATACTTCAGAACTTCGGGTAATCTGATAAAGTCCTAATCCAGCATAATTTGTGTTACCTAACCTGATAAAGTACATGGCACTTATTTATTTCTCATATTGATGTAGTGTTGAACTATTACTTAGCTCTTTACAGAGTACTTAGAGCCATTTTACATCCGTTCCTGTCCTTTAACGGAGATCACACACTAGTGTTTCCATAAAACCTAGGGCCAATGTGGGGGAAACCAATCAACTAATATATTTTTGGACTGTGAGTAAAACTATAAGCAAACATAAAAGTATAATCTATGTAGTTTGCTAGGTATGTTTGAATCCAGTAATATAGAGGTGACTGAGGTCTGAAATGGGTTTGAATCATTCATTTGGCATCAGATACATCAGCATCGGAGAGGTGGACAGGGCAGGGCACTGAGCAGCAGTAATCAAACAACTCTGCCAGTACTTACAATAGCTTGTACTTAACTCTGCACTGTCTAACTCTGCTATACAATAACTGTCCTGCAATGCCTCTTTCCTTATGCCATGCTGTACATTTCCTATTTTGCAATGGCTCATTCTATTCAGCTGCCAAATTCTGAACTCGGTGTTTTAGATTTTATATCTTATGTTGACCCATTCTGTACACTTAGTTATACATTTTATATTCCACACTGCCCCTTGCTCTGCATACCAGTCTGTACATTCCTTATTCCACATCGTCATATTCCATATTACATGCTATATATTCCCTATTCCACATCGTTGTGTTCTGTATGTCATATGTTCACTATTCCACACCTCCTAAGTCTGTATGCCAATCTTTGGATTTCCTACTCTTCACCACCTCATTCCTTATGCCATGCTGTACATTTCCTATTTTGTACTGGCTCGTTTTCTACACCTGCTAAATTCAATACTCTGCTCTGTAGATTTAATTGTAGATAAAATGTAGATTTAATATCTGCAGTGGACCCATTATGGACAATTTGCTGTACATTGTAAATTCCACACCACTCATTACTATGCTCTGTGCTGTACATTGTGTGCTCCACAGTGCTCCATCTTATACTCTATACTATAGTTTTATGTTTCACATGGATCAATTCTGTACGCTGGGCAGTACAATTTACAGCATATTCCACACTAAATCATTCTGTATGTGGTGGTGTACATTTCCCATTAAATGTTGTCCTTTTCTGTATGCAGTACTATACATCCCCTGTTCCATACTGGCTCATTCTGTACACTGTGTTGAATGTTTTATATTTCTCATCACCTCATTCTTTCATTCACATTGTATGCATGATTCTAAACACCGTGCAGGGGCATTGCACTGGTGTCTGTAGGACTCCAAATCAAACCAAAGAAACTTGATTTGATTGCCACTGAACCCAATGTAAGAAGAGGATTTATTCTTAGAAAAAAAGCCCCTCTTAAAGCAAACCTGCCACTATCTTCTCCTGATGGCTCTAACCACCACCTTGTAAAAAAAGAAGATAAATAATCAAATATCTATCAGGACTAAGGCTGGTCAAACATTATACAATTTTCTTGTTCAATTCTTTTAGCTGTACCTGCAACTACTTAATGCAAGGGCCTGCCTGATTGCATATAAATTGAAAGTGTTTAGGCTTGAACTTATATTATACAGGTGAAACTTGAAAAATTAGAATATCGTGCAAAAGTTAATTTATTTTTAATAATGAAACTAATATATGAGATAGACTCATTTCATGCAAAGCAAAATAGTTCAAGCTGAGATTTGTCATAATTGTGATGATTATGGCTTACAGCTCATGAAAACCCCAAAAACACAATCTCAGAAAATTAGAATATGACATGCAATCAATAAAACAAGGATTGTACATAGAACAATATCGGACCTCTGAAAAGCATAAGGATGCATATGTACTCAGTACTTGGTTTGGGCCCTTTTGCAGCAATTACTGCCTCAATGCGGCATGGCATGGAAGCTATCAGCCTGTGGCACTGCTGAGGTGTTATGGAAGACCAAGATGCTTCAATAGCGGCCTTCAGCTCTTCTGCATTGTTCGGTCTCATGTCTCTCATCTTTCTCTTGGCAATGCCCCATAGATTCTCTATGGGGTTCAGGTCAGGCGAGTTTGCTGGCCAATCAAGCACAGTAATCCCACGGTCACTGAACCAGGTTTTGGTGCTTTTGGCAGTGTGGGCAGGTGCCAAGTCCTACTGGAAAATGAAGTCAGCATCCCCATAAAGCTCGTGTGCGGAAGGAAGCATGAAGTGCTCCAAAATCTCCTGGTAGACGGCTGCGTTGACCCTGGATTTAATGAAGCACAGTGGGCCAACACCAGCAGATGACATGGCTCCCCAAATCAATACAGACTGTGGAAACTTCACACTGGACTTCAAGCATCTTGCAGTGTGTGCCTCTCCATTCTTCCTCCATACTCTGGGTCCTTGGTTTCCAAATGAGATGCAAAAGTTGCTCTCATCAGAAAAAGAGGACTTTGGACCACTGAGCAACAGACCAGGTCTGTTTTTCTTTAGCCCAGGTAAGACGCTTCTGATGTTGTTTTTGTTGTTCAGGAGCGGCTTGACAAGAGGAATACAACATTTGAAGCCCATGTCCAGGATCCATCTGTGTGTGGATGGCTCTTGATGCACTGACTCCAGCCTCAGTCCACTCCTTGTGAAAGTCCCCAAGACTTTTGAATGGCCTTTTCCTGACAATTCTCTCCAGGCTGCGGTCATCCCTGCTGCTTGTGCACCTTTTTCTTCCACACTTTTCCCTTCCACATAACTTTCTATTAATGTGCTTTGATACAGCAATTTGGGAACATTCAACTTCTTTTGCAATTACCTTTTGAATCTTTCCCTCCTTATGGAGGGTGTCAATGATGGTTTTCTGCACAACTGTCAGGTCATCAGTCTTTCCCATGATTGTGATTCCTACTGAACCAGACTGAGAGACCATTTAAAGGCTCAGGAACCCTTTGCAGGTGTTATGGCTTAATTAGCTGATTAGAGTGGGACACTTTGAGCCTAGAATATTGCACCTTTTCACAATATTCTAATTTTCTGAGATTGTGGATTTGGGGTTTTCATGAGCTGTAAGCCATAATCATCACAATTATGACAAATCACGGCTTGAACTATCTTGCTTTGCATGTATTGAGTCTATCTCATTTATTAGTTTCACCTTTTAAGTTGCATTACTGAAATAAATGAAGTTTTGCACGATATTCTAATTTTTTGAGTTTCACCTGTATGTTTTAACAAATTTAAAGGAAAATTGTAGAATTTATGGCAGCCTTAAACATTCCTGTACTGCAGATCCCTGACTGGAACTAGAATCTGACATTTCTGGGTGTGTCCATCACCTAATCCAGCTATATGCACTGAGCTTTCCCTGACTACAGGATCAAGTAGTGTTTTAGGGATCTACAGGAGGAATCACAATGTGCATAGAGGAACCAGGTATAGGACACACCCAGAGACCTGCAATACAAAGACATTTTAGGCCTCTCTCGGACAGAAAGGTATTTATCTTTTTCCTTTGCAAGCAGGTCTTAGTGTCATTATGTTAAATTAATGATGCAAACTCTCAAAGAATCAGTGTACACATCAGTTTTCTCTAGCCTCTTGGGTGAATAAGACCCACCCTTACTCTTCACAGATCCATACTTACCTCAGCATTACTACCACATCCACTTCAGCTTTTCATCATCTGTCAAGGTAATCAAGGGGTTGTAAAATAGTGCGTTTTTTTTTTTTATTTATTGGGGCCCATTAAATGTTTTTGTTATAGGGGCGTCTGATTTCTAGTTACAACCTGGTTACCACATGACATGAGTTTTTAGTCAGTAGTTGAATAAATGCTCAGGTGTACTGCTAAACAGATTATATCAGTTAAATCTGCTGTGTAGGCAGTTTGATCACTCCAGTAATAGCTGGGCTAGGATCCCATCAGAAATATGAAATGGTATCACTACTGAAAGAGTGTCAGTGAGAAAGCTGGCTCCTGCTATATTATTTATATAAATTTAAACGCTTCCGGACCAGCCTATAGCAGATATACTACTACAGTGCGGCACGGGTGTCGGGTATGTGATTTTGCATTTCCGGGTAAGGGGTGCCATTCACGGCCTTGGCTGTCAATCACCGGGCCCCGGCCGGTGATTACTCGCCAGTGCCCGGTGATTGCCAAAACAGTTCTCCTCCCTGTCAGCTCGTGCACACTGCTTTGCATGGCTGTGTACAGCACAGCCATGCAAAGCAGTGTAATTACAGTGAAGCACACAAACATAGCTTACAGTGCAACACCACACAGCACATAGTTAACCCTTTGATCTCCCCTCATGTTAACCTCTTCCTGCCCTGTGCCATTAGTACAGTGTCAGTCCTTTTTCTTATAGCACTGATCAGTTCCACCCGTGTTAAAATGCCCGCCGCAGACCCATAGTGCCGCTATAAGTCACTGATCGCCACTATTACTAGTAAAAATAAAATAAAAAATTCCAGTATCTATACCGTCATTTGTAAATGCTATATTTTATTTAGCAAATACATGTAGCAGAATACATTTTGGCCTAAATTTATAATGAAATTTGATTTTTTTTAAATTTTTTTACTGGACATGTTTAATAGCAAAAAGTCAAAAATATTGTTTTTTTCTCAAAATTGTCAGTCTTTTTTTTATAGCGCAAAAAATAAAAAAACACAGGCGACCAAATACCTTTGAAAGAAAGCTCAATTAGTGGGGAAAGAAAGGATTTAAATGTAATTTGGGTGTAGCATTGCATGACTGCACAATTGTCAGTTGATTGGCAGCACCCTAAAATGGCCTGGTTAGGAAGGGGAGTAAATCCTCAGGAGGGCAAGTGGTTAAAGGATAAGTTCACCTTTGGAACATGTTACATGTTCCACCCAGTTTGTGCCCAGCCGTGCCACCCTGCCACCATA